TATAATAGTACTGTATGTTGTATGTCATCTATATAAATATAACAGTACTGTATGTTGTATGTCATCTATATAAATATAACAGTACTGTATGTTGTATGTTATCTATATAAATATAATAGTACTGTCTGTTGTATGTATTTATATCAATATAATAGTACTGTATGTTGAATGTATATATATAAATATAATAGTACTGTTTGTTGAATGTATAATTAATCATGAATTTACATAACTTCTGTCCAGGGGATGGGTGCTCCAGCTAGTTTTATAATATAGTTCTTACCTTTTTCCATTTTAACCTAATATTTAGTTGACGGGTACTCCAGCTAGTTTTATAATATAGTTGTTACTTTTTTCCACTTTAACTTAATATTTAATTTAGTTTCACTAACTCTTACAGTGTTTTCCATTTTAATCTAATATTTAGTTTAGTTTCACTAACTCTTAGTGTTTTCTTCAAGTTGAAAAATACAGTATGGGAATTCCTTTGTTTGAAGAGTATGAAGCAGAATATAGCATCTTCTGTATGAAACCTTTGAGTTAATCTGTCACATTCTGTGAATTAACTAGTAATAATGATAAAAATACAGTATGGGAATTCCTTTGTTTGAAGAGTATGAAGCAATGATAATAATAATGATATAAATACAGTAGAATGACTGGAGCATTGTGTAAATTAATGTGTGTGGTGAAGTGATTATTAAAATACAAGATCTACTGTTCACTAATAGTTGCTAAGGGATATATGTACAAAATATCAACAATTATTATAAGAAATTGGCTGCTTCAGTTTGGACAGACATGCCAAATGTTTAAGGCTTACCCTATTTCTTTTTGAAAAACTGACACCATCTGTAAGATTTTTGACATTTTCTTGGTTATATGAAACTGAATATGATGGAGTTATGGCTTACAATTCCAGGCTGTTATATTTTGTTTTTGAAACCTATTTATTCACCTTCTAAAGAAAAGGTCTAGTCTATAAATGAGTATCATATAAGTATGGGGGTGATACGTTACCCCCTGGGTAAACGTGGTGACTTAACATTTTTAAGAAATTATTGAAATTTAATTACCCTTTGGTGTCTTTGAATATATACAAGTAGTATAATAATTTCTCTTTTAACCAGTGTGTCACAATAACATATTTTAGAAAGCTTTCTCACTTTCTTCTGTTATTGCTTTTTCTTGTATCAGATAATAATCCAGAAACCAGCTCTAAATCCTCCCCTATGTTTGCTATGTCTGGAGATGGCAATGATGACATTAAGATTCCTGTGGTGTTTCTCTTCTCCGAAGATGGAGGGATCTTGTTGAATGCAGTTCGAGAACATCCAGGGCTATTAGTTGGGATAGCTGATGCATTATCGTTGAAAGGTGGAGTCATTATCATCAATGTATTAGCTAGCCTATTATAATTAATGTTGAAAAAGTTATTTAATATTTGCTGTCTAGAGCTTGAGAATTAACTCAATTACTTGATTACCTACGAGCATCAGTGTAATGTAAAATAATTGACTGTCATGAAAATAATCAAAATTAGTGTCTCCAATTATTATTTATTATTCCAGCTATCCAAGTCTCTTGTGAGAAAAACTGATTAGCCCGATAACTTTGGACACTATTTTTAAATCTCTTTTTGAATTGGTACTGTGTTACATTCAAAATTTAATTAAACCAATTTACTATCAATGTATTTTATGAAATTATTATTATCAAACATGTTATAATTTAAAGTTTTATTTTATCTAAGTTTTATTCCTTTATTTTAAAAGAAAAAATCTAAAACTGCAGTTTTTGCTGTCATGTCATCCGCTCACAGTTACAATTCTCAACTTTTAAGAGCTCTTGTACAAGCAACTGTGAGTAGCTAACACAAACTGTTATGTTAGATATTCAAAGATCACCATACAGATGTATTTTATTACCATCTGGAAATGTTTCAAGATTATCCACCAACAGAAAATCATTGTAAATTCTATATAAATTTAAGGTCAGCCACACCCACTTGCAAAGTCACAGCTGTGTTGCTGAGTGACAGTTTGAAGTTGAATGGCATACTTATAATCAATAGAAACAGCAGATTTCCTGCTGTTTATCTAACTATGGGAAGATACATTACCAGTGTATGGATTTGAATATATGCAATAGAAATGAAGCTTAGTCCACTGTTGAGAGTGGGGTCCCTAGCTTTTGGCTATACTTTCTCACCTTATACATATTAGATTGATACAGTTAAATTTTATTTAGATTTTATATTTATTTAATTATGTATTATTTGTGTTTTATAAAGGAAAGGTTTAATGATTTTTATAAGTTTAACTTGCCACCTGGATTGTGAAAACTTATAAACACAGCACGTATTTAAGTGCCATCATTTTTTTCAATGAGTCTGTGTGTGGAGTCTGCTGAAATTACTTCATACAGCCCCGCAGGCATCAGTTGACGTATTGTCATAAATAGTAAAAGACAAAGAATTTGAAAAAAAAATTAAAAATAGACTATAAGTGAAATTTATGCATATAAGAAAAATATGACTATTTTAATGGATTTCCACGAAGAGTTGAAAGGTATGTACATATTTCCATTTGTTAATTTTAAAAATTTCATGGCACTGTATGTTGATGATAATAGATAGTTAATGATATAGTTGAGAAAATGGAAAATAGAATATAAATATTTACCTTAAAAAAAACTTTGATATTCATTTATGAGGTTCTAGATATTATACAAATGAAATGTGAAAACTGTAAGATAAAAAATAGTATTTTTATACTTCATAAATTCATTCTCTTTCGAGATGACGAGGAATTTGACTACCTTTTTTTTCCACCTGATTTTGCTGTATTTTCCTAAGTCTCTACTGCGAAATCAGCTAGTCCTAATATGGCTTTTTTGGACATGATTTCAGATGTGTTCTGTTTTATCAATTTTCCTGATTTCTTGTAATCCCCTTCCTTCCTTGTTACATGATACTTCCTCCTCTCATTATTGTATTTCCCCTTTCCCCAGATATTAGGGTTCACGTAGAACATTTTTTATCTCACATGCATGAGGGCACTAGCATGCCTCCCCCTCCACAGGCTTCAGATCAGTTTGTTATAGCCTACCATCAGGTTGAATTTCCATTTCTTGATTCTCAACAGTTGGAATTGCTTTTGCCCATATGGAGGCAAACCTTGGTCATCCTGTTCATTAATGCCACACCCAGTTTTCCCACTTTCATATTTCCATATTGATTCTCCTACGGTACTTGTCCACAGTCCACCTCCTTTCCAAAGCACTCCCCCGAGATCCTGAGGGTTTTTCGAGGGATACCCTCTCCTTGCTTACCTCCACTTTGGCACGTTAGTCTTCTTCAGCCCTTTCGTTAGACACATGTTATTGAGATCTTCTGGGAAGAGACACTGTATTGTCCCAAGTTCGTTTACCACCTACTTATCTTTGGGACTTATGTATGGCCCCTTTTCTCCAACAGTCTGTTTTCAGAGATATACCTGAGACTTTAGAGTCCCGTGTAGAATCTGTGAAACAGCAGTCGACCCTTGCATATTTGGTTGATTGTTTGTCTCATTCTGAGCCTAGACAATCCCCTGTTACTGTTTCATGTCCTGCTCATTCCCAGCATTTACCAGTTCCTACCTCCAGGGGTTCCTCCATATGTTGTATGGAGACCTTACCAACAGTGCTGGTGACAAGCCTGTGGGTTCCATTTCAGTAGGGGCTCACTTGACTAATTTTGCTCCCCTGTGGTGCAATTTTGCCACAGATCTTTGGGTTATTCAAGTATTATATGAGGGACTTGTCATTCACTTCTTTTCCCCTCCTCCATTATCTTGGGTACCCATATCCTTTCAGTTGCCACAAGATCCTACCAACAGTCAGTATCTGTCTGAGGTGGTACAGAATCTTCTCTCCCAGAAAGCCATCAAACCTGTACATTATTATTTTCCAGGTCTTTAGTCCAGAAAACTGTGGTCAATCTGTCCTGCCTCAATCAATTTTTGGTTCTGCCTTATACATTGGAGTCTTTTCTCACCCTCAGGTGGGCTTTTTCTCCAGGTCTATAGATGACCAAGGTAGACAACTATAATGCTTATCTGCATATTCCTGTATCTTGTTGGTTAAGGTGCTAGCTTCAGTTGGTTCATCACAAGGGAGTATATCTATTTTGCGGCCTACCCTTCAAACTTGCTTTGGCCCTGTATGTCTTTTGTCGAGTGGTGGTCAAGGCTTTTACCTGACATAGCATACTCAGGGGTTGTGCTTACACCATTACATGGATGACTGGCTTCTTTTAGCTAATTCCGAATGGGAGTCTGCTGATCACACTCATCTGCTCCTTTACGAGGCAGCTCGTATGGGTTGGTTAATCAAGTTGGAGAAGTCATTCCTTGTAACTACCCAATATCTCATCTACTTGGGTGTCTTTTTCAATACTCATCTCAGTCAAACCCAACCTTCTCCTCTCCGACTGCATTCAATGAAACTTTCAGTTCTCCACACCCTTACTGCTTGTGAGGTCCTATTGCTTTTAGGGATGTGGTCTTCTGTGGAAACCCTTATCCCTTTGAGTCGAGTCCATATGAGGTCTTTTCAGTGGAACCTTGCACAGGATCCCTTGGATACTCCTATTTCTCATCCTCCTTCTCTTGTCGATGATCTGCATTGGTGGTTGGACAAAGCCTACACATTGGTAGTTGTCGCGCTTCCCCCCTCCTCTGGATTTGCATATCTTGACAGATGCTTCCCTCCACAGCTGGAGAACATGGGTCAATAAGCAGGAACCTCAGGTCAGTGGTGTCTGAGTGAGAGGTCTTATCATATCAACATCCTGGAGCTTCTGGCCATACATCATGCTTTGGATCATTTTCTCCATTTTCAAGAATCATCTGGTCATGTTCCATTCCGACAACTCAACGGTGGTAATCAATATCAATCACCAAGGTGGCACCCATTCTCATTCCCTTTGTGGTCAAACCTTTCATCTTTATTTTGACCCACATGCCCGGTATTTGTTTCCATGCATATCATGTTCCAGGTGCATTGTCGCAGATCATCTTTACTGACCTACAAAATTTATCTCACAGAGTTGTCTCTCACCTCACCTAGATGCATTTGCCACATTCCTCAATACCAAGTTGCCCCAGTTTTGGTCTCCAGTTCCACATCCACTTGCACTGGCTGTCAATGCATTAATCCATTATTCGACCAACAAATGTGTATCCTCCCCAGGTGATTTCGATCATCCTCACCACTCAACGTCAAGTCCTTTTGATTGCTCCTTACTGGTTGGCATAACGGTGGTTTCCTCGGCTGATCCAGCTCCAATCTGCCCCACCATTATCTAGCATTTCATCCAGCCCTCTCTACCCTCCATCTTCATGCCTGGTTTCTATCCAGTCCTTGGCGAGGAGATCTGGATTGTCATGGCAAGTTGCTTCATTTTTAGCACATTCCATTTGTCCTTCTTCTATGAATGTTTATCAGCATAAGTGGGACATTTTCTGCCATTGGTCTTTAGTCAGGGGTTTTCACCTGCTCAACCCACTATTCCACTTCTTATGGATTTCCTCTTTTGTCTTTTTGATCAGAGGTCTCTTATCTCCTGAATTGCTGGTTACTGGGCTGCATTATCCCACATTTTTTGTTTTTCCCGGTACCATAAAGTTTTTACCCTTCCTACCTTCTCACTATTGTTGCATTCCTTTCAGATTAGTCAACCTCCTCAACACACGGTCCTTATAGACTGGGATAACAATGTGGTTATTTACTGCCTTACCTTACCTCCACTTAAACCTCTGTCCTCGTATTTGATTTTCACTTATCCCTAATTTCCTTCTCTTCTTGGCCTGTGGGTGTCATCAGTCAGATTTATCTACCATCGACATTTCACGTACCCTGTATCATTCCACATATGTTCTCCTTTATCCAGATCAATCTTTCCTTCCCAAAACTTTGGAAGTTTATGAGAATAATTTCTCCTTCTACCAGTGGTGTTCTGCTGGTGTAGATGACGAGATGTCCTCCAATCTGATACTCCATCTCTGAACGGGTTTATCCAAGGGGATGATGTAGCTTTGGATTGAGTCGTCAAAAACAGTTGCAGTTCACCTCTTCAATTGGGATCCCTCATCCTACCCTCACGTGGATGTTGGTTCCCAGTGGCTGGGTTTTGGATTCAAAGCTGGACCAATCAGCATAAGTCCTCAAACATATACTTCAAATGTCTCTGTTCCCTCACTCAGTTGGACTCATGTTCACTGCTACTGTATTGTGGATCATGGTGGATGAATATGCAGGTTCCTACAGTTCTTCCTCTTGCACTATTTCTCAGAGATTTTCATATACCAAGGATGTTACTGTGCTGGGGATGGTTCCTGTCTGTTTGTTTTTGAGTGAGAAAAATCACAATACAGAGACATCTTTTTTTTATTCCTATTGTTCGGATGTCGGGTTCCCGGAGAGGTAAAATGTTTTATCACGTTGTTATCATGTGCCCTGTTCTCGGAGTGGTGGGTGTGATATCTTCCTCCAATATGCTGAACTTGAGGTGAAAATGGTATGATCCTTTTTCCTACCCCCACCAGTTAGCTGGGTTTTTGATTACAGTTGATTTGCCACAGGTATGATCCTCTTTCCTACCCCTGCATGGATGTCAGTTCCTGGTAACCAGCTTTTGGATTATAGTTGATTTACTGATGATATGATCCTCATCCTACCCCCATATGGGTATTGGAGGCCGGGTTTTAGATGCAGTTGACTTGCCATGTATGGTCCCTCATGCCTTAGCCACAACCTTTTGTGGCACATCCTTTTTACTCTCACCAACATTACTGTCTTCTCAGGGATTGAGCTTCCAATATCAGGAAGTTTGGATCCCTATTCAAACATTGTTCTCTCCCTTTTGGATGTGCTCCTTCACAGTTTCCATCCATGTTTGCAACACCTCTTTTCACACTGAATGTAGAATATACCTAGTACAGAAGTGGTGCGGTCTACCACATAGGATCCTCTACTGCGAGGATCTCTTTTTTTTTTCAATGTTCTTCAGTCACTTGCAAAGGATACTTCTTTTTTTTCCTGCACCTATTCTGTGTGGGATTCTAGATATATCTGTAAACTGAGGTAATGTACCATATCAGAAGTTATCATTTTCCTATACTGAAAATGTATTTCTGATAGATACTTACCTTCTCTCACATTTCCCACCCTTTTTCTCCATGAAAACTGGTGGTTCAATTTTCTGCCTAATGTTGAAGTGATAGTTCATTAGAATCAAATAGAGGGGGTCACATATGTCAGGAGTGATGATTTACATGTGAGATACAGTTGAACTACGTTCATTGTGGGGTATGTGGGAGTTCATGGCTTGTGTCATGCAAAAACATGTTTGCATATAGAGGGCAGCACTGAATGGGAATAGCTCTTTCTGTGAGTAGTGGAGGTAAGCACCTATCAGAAATACATTTTCAGTATAGGAAAATTATGACTTATTTTCTGAAACTACTTACTTTTAGGAACATTTTTTGTCAGATTTCACTCATTTGTTTTATTTTTGGAACAAAATATTCTGATAGTGATATTAGGTCCTTACAATTTGGGAACATCATTATCATAGGGTTAGCTGAATATTGTTGATTAATGGGGCTGACATTTAATCAGTTAATTAATTTCACTAATTGCTCATCTTTATTACTTTCATGATCAGTAAATAGTTACTTATGATATAATGAAACGCATTTAGCAGTATGATCATCAACCTTGTGAAAGATTATTTAATGTACTATCATTATCATTGATCATCAGGGAAACACATCTAGCAGTATGATCATCAGCCTTGTGAAAGGTTATTTAACGTACTGTCATTATCGTTGATCATCAGGGAAACACATCTAGCAGTATGATCATCAGCCTTGTGAAAGGTTATTTAACGTACTGTCATTATCGTTGATCATCAGGGAAACACATCTTGCAGTATGATCATCAGCCTTGTGAAAGAAAAGTTATTTGACATACTGTCATTATCGTTGATCATCAGGTCTAGTGTTGTTATAATTAGTATGTTGAATTTCTTAAAATATTTGTTTAGTGTACTACTATCATTGCTAAAAATATAACCTAGGATGAGTTATAAGTGATAGATATATAAGTATTGTAATTTATTTGATTTTTTACAGAAAATGCTAAATGCACGTAACAAAAGTAAAGGTATTTATTTTTCACACTTACAAACTTTGAAATAAGTTTTGTGTTCAGAACCAAGAGGAACTTTCAGTTATGTAACTTAATACACATTTAATCTTAGATACGAAATTAAGCTGCATTTATCACACGCTAACAGTTTTTATGTAGTGTTATGGGTTTACTAGTGCTTTGTCAGTGCAAAAAAATTTAAATAATTAATTTGTGACTAAGGTACTGGCTTCAATCTCTCAGCATTATGTAGTTGATTTTATGCTACATGTAATTACAAAACATAAAAATACAAGCTGAGGTAACTGTCCTTTGTTTGGATTATGAACTTAAAAAAATGTGGGGGATGGATACTATAATAAATAATACAAATATCATAACTATCACACAATTTATTTACAATGTAACATATTATTACAGTATTCATTATTATCTCACTAAATGTTTTGTATCAGCTTTAAGAACTCGCTATGTATATACTTAAAACATGGTATACACTGTATGATGGTCAGGGTGACTTTGTAGGAAGAGGTAGTGGTGACCCGCTTTTAACACCCAACTCTTAATTGCCTTCCACAGTGTTTCACGTTATTAATTAATTTACAGTCATTGGCCACAGAAGTGTCTTATGGGATGAAATTGTAAGGTCATGGGTCAAAGTAGGAAGTGAGTATAACTCAAAAAATGGCTCTTCATATCAGTGTTATAATGGCTGTATGAACTCCATCTGAGTTTATGTATTATTACAATAGTGGCAGCCATTTTTTCATTGCATTCCTCTATAAAGATTGCTAGAGCACTCTCTGAAATATATAAGATGTTTATGTGCCCTCCCCCACACTGTGTATATATTGTGTTATAGGAAATTTAGTGTGCATGTGTGTTTTCTTATAGCATAGCCACATCAAGCCATCTGATGTATCCATCGAGGGGAATTGAACCCCTGATTTTAATGCTATAAATCCGAAGACTTATCACTGTCCCACTGGGGGATGTAAAATTCCATAAAGTTTTTTGTTTTTAATATAAGGATGTGGCACCATCTTTGAATGTAGTTAAAGTTAAGTGATGTCAAAGATAATAAATACTCAGTAACAGCAATAATGAGGGTAGAGGGGACTGTGAACTCCCAATAAACATGCTCCTTGTTCCAGACTATCATCCAAAAAAGTTTATTTGAGATTGGCTCAATAATTTAGTGGTAGTTAGATAAGGGACAGACAGATAGACACACATATTTTTGTGCTTTATTTATATAGATTCCAATTTAAATAGCAAAGTTGATAAAATACAAAATTCAATGTTTTTTCAGATATTCAAACGTATGTAAAATTTCAATTTGCTTAGGATTTGTATGTAAGCCTTGATATAATATTTATCAAAGTGGTAAGTTTGTTTATCAGGTTAGTGGCTCACATTTAAGCCAATTGTGAACTTTCTTATTATAAAACACTAAGAAAAAATTTCTAAGAAATTATTAAATTGATTAATGATTTGTAACGAGTGATGTAGGAGTGAAAAATGTCTGTAGAGTTTAAATAGGAAAGTAACAGCTTTAAATTATACTTTCTTTATTCCTAACAGCTGAAGAAGTCCACACAGAGCAAGTTCCCAGTTCTCCACAGGGTCTTGGTGATGGAGATGCTCCTTCGGTGATAGGAGTTGGTCAGGTCACTGAGGTCTACGAACCAGACATGTCACAAGATAAAGATACATCTAGTGTCAATAAACGTATGCATGAACTGTTTATGAAGCTCCATAATCTTCAACAGATCAAAGTGGACCTAGATCAGTTGTTAACTCTTGTCAGCAGTGGTCAGTTTTCAAGTTCTGGTAATGACATTCTACAGAAGAGATTTCGGCACTTCTTAAAAACACTGCTTGGTAAAGAAAAGTTATTGTCACTTGATCAAGAACTCCTGAATTTATTAGTCAAACTGTCTAAGACAGTTCAGTTTACAGATTCCCTCCCTTTCCTTCCAAATCTCCAAACACTAAATCCTTTGACCAATCCAATAGCTTTTCAGTACTTTCTACAAAATATCAGAACTCAAAAAGAACCTTTCCTTACCTCAGCATACAAAAGTGGTGCCAGTGGTAAATTGACACAAGGTCAGTCATTTCAGTCTACTCTGGTCAGTCCAGATGATCAGAAAGATGATTTATGACCCTAGTGCAATCCATTTTTGGCTATGTACATTCCATGGTCACGACGAGACTCCAGAACTCCCTCCTTGATGTATAAATCCTGAAATAAATGTTTAGGGGAGGGGACAATGATGCTGTAAATCATTATTTATCTTTGTTGGAAGGTACACTTGGGGACTGGTAAAGCCTGAGCTTTAAGGACAAAGCACTTTCATACTGTTGTTAACCTAATTTAATTATTTAATGCAACTGGTCTAAAGTTTACCATCATGAGTAATATTTAAAACTTTGGTATCCAAGTTATTGATATTCAGATGCTTTATTTCCAGTGGTGTTTTGTGAAAGAACCAAAAGGTGCACCATGAGTTTCAAAGATTGAGAGTGTAGTGTATACATCTAGAAGGCTGTTTCATTATGACTCATTTTTAACTGGTGACCTTCTCTCACCATACTCTATATATGATGGGAAAATTTGGAAGAAATTTCTGCTTTTCTAACTTGTTTTGAATGAACTACCTGTCATAGCAGAAAAGTAAGAAAAATTTTAACTTTCTGAAAGATGCAACAGAAGTGGGTGTGATAAGATTTAATTGTAAAAATTAAGTAATTTGTATCAGATATTTTGTTGAACATTCTCTCTTCTAATTGGAATAATAGCTTTATGTGATGACATGCTTTTTAGGTTTGAAGTATTACATGCTCTGTTCTTTATCATTTAAACATGCCAGTTTCAGGCAGATTAGCCATGTGGTGGATCCATAGATTTGACAATTCAGTGTGTTGATGTGTGCATCAACATGTCAAAGTCAGAAACTTACATGTGGTCGATCCATAGATTTGACAGTTCAATGTGTTGATGTGTGCATCAACATGTCAAAGTCAGAAACCTAGTGACGTTAAAGTTCCAAGTTAGAAGTTTCAGCAAATGTGGTAAAGATCATACTATCCAGAACCAAAGTAATGTATGTGTTAGTTAAAACAGAAAATTGCTAATGTTATGAGACCTTTAGTAAGATAGCAGTTTTTAAACATCAATCAGTTAAAGACATGACTTTATTGTTGTTGTTTTGTTTTTACTAGCCTTTTAAACAATGGAGATAAGTGTTAAATAGAAGGTCAGTTGTAACTTTTCTAGGATTAAACTAGCCATGTCACAAGGGTAAGCAGTTAGTAGACTATTAGACTAGAATCATCATTTGTTTTTTGCTATTATCAGACATTTGTTACGGGTTTATTGTTCAATGTCAGCTTCAACTTCCTAGGAGGGTCAGAGTTGAACCTAGTAGTCCGAACAGATAAAGGAGTGTGGGTTCAAGTGCCCTGTTCTATGACATAAAGATAATATCTAACAGATGATTTCTGCATAAATAAAAAGGCATAGGGTCCATAGAATTTAAAGAAAAGGTCAGTAGCTGGTACATTAGTGTACCATGTCTTTTTGGTATAATCGTTAAGATTTGCTCTAGATACAAACAACTGCTGGAAGCTATTACAAGTAAGATATCATTTTTTGAAGCGTTATATTGTTGTCAAAAACTTTAAACACCTGAAAGAAAAGTTTTGTGTAGGTTCTGTGGTATATTTGAATATATATATATAGTTTTATGTTACAAGTGAAATAACTTATATTTGTCTAATTAACTAAAGTACTAATGACTGACATTATAAAATATTCCTAATAATTTATAACTTTTTTTTTATCTTTTTATTTTTACTGCAAGAAACTTTGAAAGTTTCTTAGTTTAAGTACTTATCAGTGAAGGGTTTCTTTTTGTTACATTTTTGTTTTTGAATTCTTACCAGCCACAGTTAACCCTACTTTCTTCTAGATTTTTTGGGCGAGTCACATAGAAGTAAAATGTTCCTTTAAAAACTTGGCTCTATGAATAATTCATCAGGCTTCAACTAGATAGTCATTTTAAATGTAACATTTTCCTCAAAAATTGTACTTGCAAATCAATTACATTCACCAGAAATTATAAAACTAAACTTAGTTGGTTTTTTAATCATAAAATTGTATTAACATTCGCACAACTTTACTAATGATCATCGAACAAAACTGTATGTGTATGTACATACAAAGAAAAAAAAATAGTAATGATGTTTTATGTATTTTTATCGTAATGCTTGATTTTCACGAATGGTAAGAACCAAAACATCCTCTCTTTTCTTTTCTCCTTCAGGGCACCAACTTATTAAATTTAACATATACATGTTAATAAATAGCTTCAATAAAGCCAGCATGCTTTTTTCTATCACATCTTTCATTAGTAGGGATTTTCAAGTCCATACATTTCATTACAGATTATATGGAGGTTATTAGAGATTTTGTTATGTAAACTTAGCATGCATTCACACCAAACACTTACTTACTCAAGTTCACAGTATTATGATGAAAAGGAAGCTTTCAACAGTATAGATTTTGATATTGAACACTATATAAATTATAATGTATATTTAAGAAACTTCATTTTTGGTAATAAAGCTGGAAGTCTATGTGTTCGAAGCAGAAGTTTCTTGTTGCTTTCACCCAAAAATGTTTGTCTATGGGAAATTTGAGAGTAAAGGGCTAAATTTTGTGATTTTCCAGAGTGTGTTATCTGAATGAAATCTTTATTATGATAACGTGTTATTTCAGTAAAAGTTTGTTTTAGATTATACATCATGTTGTTATATTTGAGTTACTCAATGAAAGTTGTACAGTAGTGATAACTGTGTATTTTCTAGGTAAATCACTTTTAAAGAAACAGGTTTTTTTGTTTGTAACCTATCTATGTATTTAATCCTTGATGTTTTTAAGCATTATCTATGTGTTTTCTTGAGTTTTTTTCTCATTTGGTCATAGAGTGTAGGAAAATATTATTGGTGAAAGTGTCTTTTATATTTTTCTCAAGGAAGAGAGAGAGAGCTAAGACTAATATCAGTAAGAAAATGAAAAAGCAAGAGATGTACTATTTACCATGATGAACTGAAAAAGAACGTGACATCTAACGTAGCTATAAAATTGTTCCTAATCATATATACGTGTGTGTGTGTGTATGTAACAACATGCAGAATTTGGTAAGCATCCAATGAACAGGCACTTTCTTTTTAATAAACTGTGTTATGTGACTAAACTTGTGAAACAATTGTATCCAGTTTGTAATTTTGTTTTATCAAGAAATTACAATATTTAACTGTGAAAGAAATTGCAACTTCAAGTAAGAATTTTTTTGTTGATTTCTGAAATACATAAAATATTTTATAAAACAGTACACCATAATCAGTTACTAGTTGGTACAATTATTTTAAATACCTTAAATTACAGGAAAAGTAAATGTAAATATGATTAGCAGCACCAGCCAAATATATTTATAAAACAACTAGTATAAAAGCCCATCAAAAATGATGGAAAACCATTGTTGAATGATTAACAAAAATTATATAATTTAACTAAAACAAATTTGTCTGTACCTCCAACATACACCTACTCTTCACTCATTTCATCCGTCTCAAAGTAGTTCTTTAATCACCACATTTTTAGTAAAAACTACGCAGAAAAATGAAATGTTATTGTGAACAAAGTATGTGTGCAATCTGAAAAAACTTAAATAGCACTCTTGAGCCTTTTCTAGGTCAGGAAGCAGAAAACGTAGTGGAGACATTCCAACACAAATTTTCAAATCTTTTAACTGTACAAAGGATAAAAGATATTTGGTAGTAATAAACGTTTATTTCACTTTATGTTTTAAGGTCAAGTAGGTAGTATATGAGTGTTAAAATACCAAAAGAGTATTTATTAATTAACGTATATTCACCACTTAACTTTTTAAACACTGACTATAACATTAATAATAGTAGGCCTATTTGTAGTCTAATTTAATTATTAGGCCTAATACATAAGTGTAACATAAGGCTTAGCTGAAACTGACTATAACATTAATAATAGTAGGCCTATTTGTAGTCTAATTTAATTATTAGGCCTAATACATAAGTGTAACATAAGGCTTAGCTGAAACACTACTTGGTAAATTTTAATTTGCTTTTGAATACAACTCAATGTCATAAAACATCTGAATTAAACTATTTTGTTGTTATATCACCAAAGGTATTTAAAAAATATAGAATAAATTACAAACTATCTAACAAGTCAACATGAATATTGAGCATTCAACATAAACACTGTAGTTGACTTAAGAACAATCAGATGATAGTTTGTTGCTGAGCAACAGTGTATATTGTTGAGCATTACCAAAAAAGGAGAGTGAAAGCATTCTCAACATAGTGACAAAAGGAATAAGCCTTTTATAGCTAGTGATACATCATAAGTTACTAGCTTATTTTTTAATAAAATCGTTCTGTAAACTAGAGAAGTAAAAGTAAATATGAGTAGCAGCACCAGGAAAACATTTCTATAAAATAATACATCATAAGTTAATGGCTGATTTTTATAAATTGAACATCAAATTACAGAAAAAAAAAGTAAACTTAAATATGATTAGAAGCACAAACAAAACATTTCTATAAAACAATACAGCTTGTATTTATAAACCGTTTTACTGTAAATTACAGGAAAAAATTAACTATGATTAGAAGCACCAGCCAATCATTTTTAGTTTTTATATATTTCTTTCAGAATGTCTTGCAGTATTTTGTCATTAACCAAGGGACTTGTTTCTGGTTTTAAAAAGTGTTTGCACAAAATTTCACCAAGAAAATAAATGTAAAACTAAAGATTGTAAGGTGATTCATGTCCAGCAGCCAAACACCTTTATTTTACCACCTTCATATTTTTCTACAAACACACATATGCAACACTGAGAAATCTTGCATGGAAAAGAAAGATATATACACCTGGAAAAAAGTTAAGCACCCCCAAATATTTTTCAGGATTGCTTATTGAAAATAAGGTTTAATTTTCATGATGTTGAGCAATGTTCATAATTTCAAACATAATTAAAAGGATGTGAGCGTTCAGATGTGACA